AATTTGAACTTTAAAGGTGATTATACATACATGGTCATCCCAAGCATGGCCCTTGTTGTATATTATGGCAGCTCCAAGACTTCTTGCAGGGTTAATACCAGTTCCGGTGATGGGGATGGTGGCCAAATGAACCAAGAACACCGCAAACCCAATTGGAAGAGGAGCCAATATCTACAATAAACACATTCAAATTTAATTCAAGATAAAAATCTCAACTTTTTCTAAAGTGAATATCTGTAAATAATTCAATAGTCAATGGAGTGAGTTGCATACAGGGACATGGGAGTCTCTGGCGCTTCTTTTAGCATCAGTTGCTGAGAACACGGTGTAAACAAGCACGAAAGTGCCAACAATCTCAGCACCAAGACCATCACCCTTGGTGTAACCATGGGCGACGACATTAGCACCACCGCCTAACGTCGTGTACTGCGCATCACCCTGAAACCCTTTCACAACTCCGGCACCACAGATCGCTCCAAGACACTGCATCACCATGTAGAAAACTGCCCTGGTCAACGACAGTTTTCTTGCTAGTAGCAAACCGAATGTCACAGCTGGATTAATATGCCCTCCTGTTTGAAGATAAACGTATAGTTTTTAGATGATTTGAAGAAGAAGAAAGAAGATAAAATTAGGGTTCCGGTGGAAAGTGGAAAGTGGAAACATACCTGAGATACCGGCGGTGCAGTAGACAAGAGCGAAGATCATACCACCGAAAGCCCACGCGATTCCTTGAATACCCACTGTGCCACATTTCGTCGGAGATTTGACCACACCCATTACAGTCAACACCGAGATGTAGAGGAACAAGAAGGTGGCGATGAACTCTGCGATACCGGCTCTGTAAAACGACCATGACGACAACTCGCCTGGCTCGAAAAGCGGCGCCGGTGGTGGCTCCTTGTAGTCTTTATCGGTTTGAGCGGATGTTCCGATGGGTTGCCTCTCGGAAAACTTGTTGGCTCCGAGTCTCACATCTTCTTCCTTGCCCTCCATTGTTGTTTCTGGAAGCTTTTTCTTTTTAATTCTCTCTCTAGTGAGTGGTGATTTTGTGAGGAGTAGTGATAGGGGTTGTGTGGTTTTATAGTTGAAAAGTCAAGAGGATCAATGGGTATTTGTTAATTTAATAGTTTTGTTGATTTTGTGATTAATGATTGGTTAATTTGATAATGATAATGTAAGCTTCATGATGTGTAGTGGTTTAATTTAGTCTGTTTATTCCGGAAACAGCAGAGGTATGAAATATGTTGACAGATTCTGAGTTGTTTGTTTGTGTGTTGTGTTGTTATCTATTACAGAGTGTCATCAAATTATTGGTTGTCTTTTTAGTTTAATTGTTAATTATGCCACCCTTTTCATTTTATATTTAAAGTATTACTATTTTATGCACCAAAAAGATAACGTTTTGAAATTTTAGCTCTCAAAAGGAGGCTTAAACAGTATTAGAACTCAATAAATTATGATCTGGTGTGGGTCATTTTATCACCTTGTTCATAATTATTATGCCAATTTTTTATAATGAGGCATATTTAATGTTATCTTTCTTGGAAATGAATTCATATAATAAACATTTGATTTGGTAAAACAACATATATTTTTATTTGTCAAAATCAATATATTTTCATCTAATTAAAAAAAAAATTATACTATTGTTAATACATTAAAACTATATATTTTTCTGAAAGTCTAAAAAAAAATTATGCTATTGTTAATACATTAAAACTTATTAAAACTATTAAATAAATCAGTTATGTTGTTTTTTATGTGCGTTAAAAGTCTTTATCTTATATTTTATGGGGTTATGTTTCTTATCATGTGAAAACTGATAATAAGATTTGAAAAATAATATAACAAAAACACTCTGTTTGCTTTAAAATTCGTTAAGAAATAAAATTAAAATGACGTTTGATGAGAGCATTTAACCTAACCAGAAAAAATATAAAGCAAAGGCAACGAGTGGCTGAGGCCAATTAGCCGGTGGCCTTTCTGACCGTTGTGGAAAGCGACCGCCCACAAAATTCTGTCCAACAAGTAACAACGGCTCTTTATACAGTTTAAAATTACATTATTACCCTTGCCAGTTTCTTCTACATTCTTCCATCGAAATTCCTTTTTATTTTCTCCTTTTTAGGAGTACCATGGTGTCTAGGTATGCACAATGTGGCAATTCTTAGATGTACAAAACCCGCTTGGAAGTTTTATGGAAACTTTTAAATAGCTTTTCATTTTGAAATTATATTATAATCATTTAATATTGTAATGGAAATTATAACATGAATGCTAAACCTTACAACACTATTTAAGCATTAAAACAAGAGTAAATTACATTTTTATTTCTTGACGCTCGATTTTTCATAACACTTTTGGTCTCACTATCTTGATTGTTGCAAGTTTTGTCCCTATTTCACACTAAATTAGCATGATTGGTCACTTACACTAATTCCCGCTAGTTTCTTATAGATTATGGTAGTTTTATCTTCTCATGTTGTGTCTTTATTTCTCTCTTCGTCCCTTTGTTTCTAGTTCAGTGGGATGATGAAGGAGTACAGACTCATCAAGAGGCAGATAATTTCCTTTCCATGGTCTATGAAGGAGTCCAAGTTTATCAAGAGGTTGAAAATTGCCAAGACATTACGAAGGAGGACACGTTGAATAAGACTAAAAGAGTTGAGAATTCCAAAGCCATTATCATGTATGACAAGCTTAGTGGATAAAAATAGTATGTTAATGAAGGTAAGTCACGAAGTGAGGGGGTAATCTAGTGCTTAAGGTCAGTTTGGTGGTGATGGTAATAGTGAAGGTGATAAGAAAGTTAAGATGAAGGACAACCGTTCATGTATGACAGCTGATAAAAACACAAAACGATTCACAACATCAGCATATCCTTTATTAATAGAAATAAGATCCAATTGGTTTACCTCAACTTACAATAGAAACATCACTACAATCACACTCCCACTCTAATATAAAACAAAAATAGATTAAGACAACTAGATATTACAGATGATGAACAAGAACTTAACTGAACAATCTAAGAACCCTAATAAACCCTAATATCTATACAGGAAAACAAAGAACAGACAAGAACAAAATGAAAACAATTGAGACTGAATGACCAACAACACATGTAACACACACATTATATACTTCAGGTACAAGACTCAATTCGGATATGGATTTTATCCATATCAAACCCAAAGACCCGACCTAATAAAAGATTCGCGTGTTTTTAAACAAGAACAAGAGAAATCAGTTGTCATCCCTCAACCTATGACAAATGACCAAATAACCCTTCCGCATAATAAATAGATACAAACAAAATGCAAATGTAGAACAAATTCTTTTAGGATAATCTTGACAAATTATATGCTTACTATTTTAACACCTCCTCTCAAGATAATCACAAAAGTTGTTTTTTTTAACTTTATATTTGAAAAGGATCAAACAACCCCAACTCAGAACATAAAAAAATTATGTTGAGTAGAGAAGTAAGAGCTTTAGTAAAAATGTCTGCCCTTTTGTTTTTCTAAAACAATTTTAACAATCTTTATTACCCCTTTTGAAACTTTATCACGAACAAAATGCACATTCACTTCAAAGTGTTAAGTTTTTTTTTTCGTGAAATACACGATTTAGAGCAAGTGTAATAGTAGGCTTATTGTCACAAAAGACATTAACATGAATTAAGTTTTTAACACCCAAATCAAAACATAACTTCAAGATCCACATAATCTCACATGAAACTAAAGCCAAAGCACGATACTCCGACTCAGTAGAAGACCATGAAACAATATTTTGTTTCTTACTCTTCAATGAAACCAAACTATTTCTAATATATACACAAAAACCAGTCACATTCCTTCTACCGAATAAGCACTTAGCCCAGTCAGCATCCACATAAGCACTTAACTGAAAAATACTATCTTTCACAATTTTAATACCTTTTCCAGGATTTAATTTCAAATATCTCAAAATTCTAAAGTAACAGACAAATGAAAACATCTAGGTGAATGCACAAATGTCGGTTCGTATATATTTATATATATATATATATATATATATATATATATATATATATATGCTAGAATGTTCCGGCTTAGGTCCGATGTCGGGCGAGGCCCGATGTAGGATTATATGTGTTAAAGCAAGAAGTGACCCTCTTGAACCTCCACCCGAAGTTTGCACTCTACCGCAATGTTGCTGCTACCGCAACTATAAGCGAAGATGTTATCCACAACTCTCTTACAGAACAAAGACTTAGTGTTTTTTCTTTTAACTTATGTCTTTACTTTGTGTTGACCAGTGTACCTTGCATGGACACTTCTTTGTCTTTATTTATTTCCCTGTAATGTCTATGGAGCTCTATAAATAGAGCCTTTCACTTCAGTTTGCAATACCCATCTCTCTTTCATCTTATATCTTATCTCTCATTACTTTCTTACTCTCAAGATCTTGCTGAACTAGAATTATATTATCTTAAGATCAGAATCTCTCCTCGGAGAAAGTCATTCTTGACTTAATCACGTTAAGTTGATCACACTCACTAACTTGGTTTGATTGCAATCCTTGGTACGAATCAGCTTAAGTGTTTACTTGATATAATACTTGTTGTCATTTATATTTCCTTATATTTCCGCATCTAGTTATCTAACACTCTAACTCTAACTTAATATTACTGTTGAGCTTTATGATCCTTTGAGTTAAACTTATTCTGCATTATAACTTTTTCTAACGTTTGTTCAAGTGTGTTTCTCAAGTTTTTCTCTCAACAATTGGTATCAGAGCCAAAGTGGTTGCTTTTTGAACTAGAACTCTGGTTTTAAAAGGCCTTCTATACCACTGAAGCTCATTTCTTTCAAAAAAAAATCTTTTCAAAACAAGGAGATATGGCACAAGCATTATCACTTAATGTTTCCAACAGTGTTAGAGGTTCGAATAGAGCTCCAATATTGGTGGCAAATGAGTATCATCACTAGTCTCAAAGAATTGAGAGATATCTAAGAAGACTTGGACAAGATGTGTGGAGATCTGTAGAAGAAGGTGAAGGGTGTTGAGCATTCAAACACTCCTAAGGTGTACATGCAAACATGAAACCTTGGATCTATGTTTTACTAAGATACATGCAAATTTGATTTTCCAAGGTTCTTAACCTAACTAGCATGGCATGGGGAACTTTGAAACATAAAAGCTAGTAGGAGAACATACATTTCTTGTTGCTTGGATTCCTTGAGAACCTTGTGAGCCTAGCACCTCAAGTGTGATGCCTCAAATGTTTCACACAACACCACAACCCTTGGAATCACTTTGAGAGAAGAACACTATCACTCAAAATCGGCTAGCACTCTTGTTTTACACATAGTAGTGCCAATTTTGCTAGTCATGGGGTCCTTTTATAGTTTTGTCACAAGTAGGGTTACAACATGTAAACCTTAATTGACATGGCTTTTCATATTCCATGATCAATGGGTTTATAACCTCCATGGACTATCCATGGAGCACCTTATGGGTTTTAGCCCAATTCAATAAACCATGGATCATTAGCCCACTATAAAAGAATAGATCATTTACACAATCAACCCCATATATTTAATTAATCTCCTTTTGATCACCAAATTAATTCTTGATCAATATTAATTAAATAATATTATTAATATATTTGACCTTATAATAGATTAATAAAACTTAAGTGTCCTTTCTCCCATTTAGTCTATCCAAGTGTTGCAATGCCATGCAACACAAATTTACCATGCCAATTGGGTCAAGTACATCCTAGAAATAGTTATGAACTTAGACACCTAATCCAACAGTCTTCCACTTGGATAAGTCTAATAACTATAACTGCAAGAATAACTTCAGGAACCCGATCAGCAATCGTAGCTCTTTCAAAGTCTCGCGGAACTGAGATGATGATGATATGTCATTTAAGATAAGTGATCATATAATCCTCTGTTATAGATATCAGCCGGAAAAATACATGGACCAATGTCTTACTTATTGTCCAGCAGTTTGTTTCCTGATTTCCGATTTGTTTGACATAGATCTTAATCGAACACATCAATTTAGTTATGATCGGGCCCGATACATATGTCAAAAAAATCATCGAGGGGCCCATATATCGCTTCTAATATAAGAAGGAACATATAAACTTCTACTCATATGCTTGTTCTG